GGTTCCTGGATGACGTACAGATCCACAGGGACCAGATCAGCATGCCCAGGAGGAGAGCAATGGTGAACAGGAAGCCTGAAGAGGCCAGGGTCTCCAGGACGATGCCCCATGCTGCCCTGCGGTCACACAGGTACCTATAGATGGGGTTCAGTCGTCTGCCGCAGCCCGGCACGCCCTTCAGGAACGTATCATTTGAGGAAGAGGTTGTTGCATTGCTTGAGCTGCTGTTGGCTGACTGACACAGACAGGTGAGGGGGACATAAAAGAGCAGGAGGAGGGGGAAAAGGGATTTGTGCTTCACGGATAAAAAGGCCATATTCATAATCCACCTGAGGATTCAGTCCTTCCTTTGATACAGGTGATCTTTTTATCCTGAAAACAAAAAGCACAAAATATTTCAATAACATCAAATTGGAGTACAAGATTCCCTGAGTGCGCTGACGCCGCTTTGACTGACAAGCGGGATGAAATGGAAGACAGGATAAAGAGGTCACAGCTTGGAAAAGTAAACGGAGGGAGAGCGGTTTGACAGCCAGAGTGAAGAGTGCGGGAGGAGGGAGTGTGTAAACATGCCAGAACAAGGCAGAGCAGTGTGTTAGCCAGGGATAAGAATGGAGGAAAAAAACTACTGCAACATGGAGGTGAGGCTGGGACAGAGCAGCAGACATGAAAGGTAACTATTCTGCTGCATCAGCCCATAAGACAGAGATACACACACACACACACACACACACACACCAGGGAGGGGTTGTGGTTTATATGCAGTGCAGATTGGAGGTGAGAGATATTCACTCCTGATAGCTGATTGCCACTTCCTCCAGACTGTAACAGAGCCTTTGTTTCAGCGTCAGAGATTCAAATATGACCTTTAGTAGGATCATTACTCGGTAAATATGACCCTCAACTTCGCCCTGACACTGGCCTTTATTTGGGTTGTCAGGAGATCACACAGTGGGAGAAGGATTTGGGAAACAATGGCAGGAAACACACCACTTAAGGAGATTATCTCCATCTCATTATAAGGGCTGATCAGCCAGTTAGAACAGCTATTATTAGACAAAGCTGAAAGCATAGACTGCACATGATTTCCAGAAGTTTCACCCAGTGTTATAAGGAAAATAGCTGCACATGATCGCTGACTGTGACTCAAACTGTTAAAGCTACACCTCATAACTCCAAAGCTTGACCAGACCTTAAGAAGAACAGTCGAACTTACCTTTTATCCCTTGTGATGTGAGAGTAAACTTCTAAATCCTGCTCCAAAGTTTGTCTAGAAGCCTTACAATAACACCCGCTTGATGCGCCTCCCTATCCTGATGATGTTTCCATATCTCTGCCAGGTAACAGGAAGAGCACGAGATGACGAAGAGTGGGGAAGCACAGAGGTCTAAAGCCACCTGGAGACAGGACTCTCTTCACCTTGTGTCAACAGGTTGGGCAAAAGCAAGAGAAACCTGCACCCCGACTCATACCTTCCTGTCAGACCCCTCCTGTCTCCCAGTGTCCCTCCCTCAGAGAAATAGGTGGGGCTCACACACCTGGAGGTGATGATGCACACAAACACCCACAGGGAGGGAGAGCTCACTCTTCCCTGGCTATGATTCCATTTCCTGAGAATTTGCATCGCCTTTCTTGATAACATGTGGACTTTATGTGGCGTAAATGTGGAGTGTGTTGGGATAGTCATGTAAAACACGCTCGTTGTTGTTACTGATTTAAGGTGAGAGCACAACTGACTCATTCCAGTCTCATCGGGATCCAGAACAGGACCGGCCGTCACCCTTAGTTACTGGGAAATCACAGCAACAACATTTGGTATTGGTGATTTAGCCTCAGGGGGAGTTGAGTCAAGACTGGAGAGAGTTCTTTTAACTGTTGTCTTTAACAAGTCCACACGTAACACCTCAACTCATGCCTATACAAGTAGAGTCTACAGGGTGTGTTCGGTCTTCAACTGTAAAGTCACTGTTGTGCTGCAAAACACAGCTTTATCTTTCTAATCATCAACATTATTTCCTGCAGCAGCGGAAAATATCCACATATCTGTGTGTGTGTTATGTAACAATATTAATGTCTATCTACTCAATATTTCAAACCTAAAGTCTCCCTGATGTGTGACCCTGATACCAGGGGAATTCAAACATGACATCATTTATTTGAAGCATCCCACACAGTTCCCTGATACTGTCAGGTTGGGCTGAGATGGAAAGACATCAAACATTTGTGTACAGATTCTCAGACACTCTGTAATGTTAGCAGCTCATTATTTTGAAAACCATAGTGAAGCCAAGTGTCTGGGAACAGCTGCTGATGGATTGGATGTTGACAGAAGCCATGTGGTAGTGTTTCTGTGGTGAATTTTAGAGCTTAAGGTCTTTATTTTCCTTTCTCTTTTGTGTCTTTTGAAGGGGTCGTCACCATGTTCCCAGGGTCCTACCATATGTTCCCAGGGTCCTACCATATGTTCCCAGGGTCCTACCATATGTTCCCAGGGTCCTACTGTATGTTCCCAGGGTGGTGAGGGCTGTCTTCACGGTTCAAATTTACAAAAGAACAAAAGGACATGGATGTTTCAAATGCAGTTTGAATGGTAAAATCCAAATCTATGGAGATATCAGTGTCTAAAGTCAAGAAAACTGTCTGAGGCGTAGGTTTCAAGCAGTGTGGTATCAGTGGGCTTTAAGCCGTGGGTGTGTGATTTCAAGATAACTCACCCAGGAGACTTAAACTGAGCATTTAACCCAGATGAATCTAGGGATTAAATATCTAACAACTATTGTACAAACATTCATGGTCCACAGACGAATGTTTGTACACATATTAAGTGGAAATGAGGCGTAAAGGCTTTTGACGGATGCAAAATACGCAAAAAACAAACCTGTTGCAAAAATTTTAACGATGGACAATGGGTGATTGACACAGTGTGAAGTCATATTTATTTTTAGACGTGGGACCATTTTGGACGAAAAAGGAAGTCCATTCATCCATCCTCTGGGAATCTCTGTGATATCTGATGTGCCTGCAAAACTCCTCCCCTCTGTAATTTTGCAGTCCGGATTGGCCTTGAGTACGTTAAAATTAATTGAACTTTTGCAGTGGATTTCAGAGGGACCGTATGACAGTGTGCTAGCTTAGCTAACAGGCTCTTTTCTTCAATTCAGTTGCCTGTGTTGATTGCCAAGTGAGTTTGTTTGATTAAAAAGAACTTGTTTATCTGGTTTTAACACATTGTGAATGTGAGTAATGTTATTCTGTTAATACTAGTCCATACCCATTGGTAGCTTTGTCACCTTCTACCTATGCCAATCCTCAGTGCCTATGTGCAGTTTCACATAGATTGACCACGTCAGTGAGTAGAAAAACGTGGGACTGACAGAATGACTGACTGACAGTTTCTGTGGTTATGTACAGCATACCATACCATGACTTAGTCATAGCAAAAATTAGAACAACATCGGTCCACAGGGGGAGCCACAGCAATCGGTCGCATT